TTCATTGGAAAAAAATCGAACACTCAAAATCTTAAATTTAAGCCATTGTTGTCTTCGCGCTAATGCAATAAAAGCTTTGGAAAATACTTTACTAAAAAACTTTACTATCTCAGATTTAGATCTAAGTTATAATAATATTTCAATGAAATCTTTATTTAAAGCTTTAGAAAGAAATAACGCACTCACAAAATTAAATATAAGCCATAAAGATCTCGATATCGAAGAAGGAAAAGCTTTGGCAAATACTTTAGAAATCAATAATACGCTCACTCACTTATATCTAAGTGAAACAATAAATGATTCTGAAACAGGAAAAATTTTTGTTGAAGCATTAGGGAAGAATAAAAAGCTTTCCGAATTAGATTTAAGTAACAATTGCTTTAATCTTGAAGTAGCAATAGCTTTAACTAAAGCTTTAGAAATTAATGAATCTCTTCGAAATATAGATCTAAGAAATAGCGAACGAGAAACAAAAAATGAACTAAAAAAATGGGCAAAATATAAAATTTTTAGTTTAAATGTTAATATTATATTGTAATGTATACAAAATAATTATTCTAATTCGGTGAATTAAAATTTCATCTCTAGTTAATATATTGATTATTAAAGTTCTAATATTAGCTTTTCAAACTTTGAACAAGATGTTTTAATAAAAAAAAAATGGAAATTTGTATTATTAATTAGAATTATTCTTTGTGCAGAAATGAAAAATAAATAAATATCGCAATTAGCGAACATAAAACATGAATAAAAATATAGGCTACTTTCACCGGTAACTTATAGTAACTTACCATCAGAATTAAATTACTTTATGCATTTGCATACTATCGCTATACATGATATATTACTTTATACTCAATTGTGACCTAATCATCCATACTTACATGTTTGCTAATTTAACGTATTACTGTATTATACTCCACTACTCTATTAAACCATACTCTACTACTATTCGTATTACTCATTAATATATAAGATAGCTGCGCGACAATGTAAAACCAGGAACGGAAGACGTGATGAGTATCGGTATTGCATTTTAGTAAATATATAGGTTGTCGCTGGCATGTGATGTATAGTGGCGCAGATCCTCAAAGGACAAATACGTAAATTTTTAGGATCATATATAACGTGACATGATCAGAAAGATTCAAAGCAAACGTTCGTTTTGTAAAATTTGTTTATTTTGAAAATTTACCCAATAAAACAATTTTCCAAACGATTCACCATCTTGTTAATTCTAACTTAAATACGAATGTTAGTCTTTATAGCAATGGGTTTTAAAGAATTTTCATTACTTGAATGTGAGCAGGCTCGTGGTGCAGCAAAAATTCTTTAAAGCTTGTTTATGTTAGGGTTAGAGTCAGGTTTTAGTTTATACAGTAAAATTGCCTAACGAAAGCTTTTTTTAGAGAACTAGAGGTGGTTACTGAAGTTCGCCATAAGCCCGGCACACATTCAAGACGTGCTTTAAATTATATGACAGCCACGCGTCGAAATTTGTGTATTTTTATTTTTATTTTTTTTACATTTCCTGTATTCGCACAATTCATCATGGATATGTTTTGAACGTGATGAATTTTATGTTATTAAAGGATAGATTAGAGCTGATATAGATAAAAAAAAAGTAAAAATTGTAAAGTTATTAAATGAGTGCGTGAGAAACCGATTTAATGATTTACTATGATCGGTTTCCAGGTTTTCACTCTCATATAAATGCCGATATGGAAACATATTAAGGAAGACAGTAATAAAGTATAATATTCTTTAAAATAACGTCAAACAAATGACGAAATTTAAATTTTATTAAGATGAAATTTTTATCAATTAGAACCAATATGCAAGAAAATAAAGTGAATTTAAATTCCTAAAGATGATGATAAACAACTAAGTTAATATAGATTAACTAATACTTAATTATGAATAGACCTTTAATTATTGTTTTTTTTTTAAGACTATTAATCATTGATAAAAATTTTTATCGTCTTCGTTTGTTTGAACGAAATGCTTTTAAATCTCTAGTTCTTTTTTTGCCTTTTC